AACAGCGTTCCTCGGGGAGGCTTGCCCCAGGGACAGACACCCTGACCCACGATGTCGGGTCACGAAAGGCGGCGATGCATGACGCAGTGGTTCGCCTCATTTCGTAGACGTTGTGTGGTGGCCCTTAGTTAAAGGTCGGTGACGGGGAAGTGAGGTCGAGGCAGAGACATTCACGGAGCCGGGGAATCGTCCGAGGATGATCCCCACCGCCTTTGTGATGACCTGCATCCGGTGCGTGCTCATGGTGAAGGGTACTTTGCATAACCGACGGCGGCCCAATTTCCAGAGTGACCCAGGCCGTCTTTCGAGATAAGGCATGGGAGTTCAAGTATCGTATCGCCGTGGGGATGCGAGGGAGATATCCGAGCGAGCGAGCCAGAGAGCAGAGGCTTCGTCCGGAAGGTGTCTGTCTGAATGATGCTCAGACAGTTCCGGGGACGGAGACAAGCTTCTTGGCCCTTCCTTGCTGAGTATATGTTGGTAGGTAGGTCAGCGGCGGCAACGGAGGTCACGCCTGTCTCCGATGTTTATCCCTATGGCCAGCCCGAAGTGGCTGTCGATCTGGAAAGAAGGAAGGAATGACGATGATGGGTTGAAGTCTAGACCGTCGACGTCTAATTACCTCGACGCTGTTTCCTCTGAAGTGCGTCTTGTTGAGCACGGGCAAGTGCAGGAGCCATTGTGCTCGCCGGCTGGTTGCAGCTGCCAGATGGAATGTCAGTGGTTTCTTACATAAGGAACGAAAGCGCAGGCGCCTGGGCGGCCGAAGAGGAGGAGGGGAGGAAGGAAGGAAGGAGGGGAGGAATGGTGAAATATCGATATTTCCATTTAGGTCGGGTCCGATGGCCATGGAAAACTGAATGGGAAAGCTAAGGTAACCTCCACAGGCACTTTCCGTCAACCACCCAACTGCCACCTACCCGTGCCACGCCAATGGAAGCGGCGGGCGTTGGCATTCTCTGTCTCTTCGCTTCGTGTAACCATCGTTCGTTGTCTCTCCCCGCGAGACATCCTGAGAAGAAGGAGCATTGTTGTTCTGGACCGCCAAGGGACCCCAAGGTTCCCAAGCTCCCCAATTCCAGCAGGCGGATTGGCTCGCCAGCAACTCCGACGCATTCCGTCCACCCAGACCCCGGCCTTTTTCGCTGCCCATCACGGCCATCTTCATCATTTGACCACTGCCCGCCAACTGAGACAAGGGACGTCCAGCCACGCCACCGACGACTCGCCTACACCCCGTACGGTATCGACGTCTCCCTAGACTTCCTCCACGTTCGGCTCCATATCCAGCAAGACCCGTCCACTTCTCGCCGGACGATGCCCGCAAGCCCCCAGCATCTGGAAAGCCCATCTATCGGCTAAACCATTGAGCCGCAGCTCGACGATTCATCCTGCCGACGTCGAACCGACACGCTGAATCGACTGCCATGAGGAGGAAGTGGGCACGGAGCTGGGGGATGGGATAGAGATGGCTCTGGAACTGGCTCTGGAACTGGCCCTGGAGCTGGCCATGGAGCTGACAGCTTGGAGCTTGGTCTCTTCTCAGCGGGCACATCCGCCGCCACCAGCTAAACATGGAAGCTTGGCCAGGGTTCACCCTTACACTCGACCTTGTCGTTGCGGGCTGATCCAGTCCATTTCTACCCAATCCTTACATGATACGAATAGACACGCAGAGTGCGAACTTTACCAGTCCTCTCTCGACAAATGGCTCGCAAATTTGGATCTTCGTACTCTGGAATCTGCTCGCGTGGACTGCCGGGGACTGTGTGCCGAATTGCGTCTACCGATTGCTTTCTTTTCTGTTTCACTCCAAATGGTGCGCCATTGTCGTTTTCCGACTTGTCAAAAGGCCTGCCAACAAGCCCGGGAGCCCAGTTGCAATTTTGCAACTCAAGCGCTGAATGCTCACGCGGCGATGCCACCCTGCAAATCAGCCAGCCATTGCTGCCCCTGCCCTGCTTCCGCATCCTGGTCTTTTGCTACCCATCTGCGAATAGCGCAGCTAGGAGCCCAATCGACCCCTCAAGCAACCAGAGATCGGCCGATTCCCAGCCCGGAGCCAGGGCATTCTGGGACACGGACCGAAGTGAGAGAGCAGGGCCAAGCAAGACAGAATCGCTGTTCCTTGGATACGTTCGGCCAGTCGTCGTCGAGAACTACCGTCGCCCCAGCATCAAGCACCAGGCATCCTACCGTACCGCGCTGCACCACCGCACACCCACAATGTCAGCCCCAGCCGCCATGGATGCTTCGGCTGCGTTCCACGCGGCGCGGCCCATGACCGGCATAGGCTTCATAGCTTAAGGCCTGAGGGAGGGAATACGTTCCGTTCACTTCTGCACACCATTTCCATCTTATCATAACAAGCCCCGGACCTGTCACTCGTTTACGGATAACCTAACCATAATCCGAACCGACGTTTAGTTGGCGACCCATTGCCGCGCCCCCCGAGGCGTCTTCAGGCGCTAAATCACCGCTGACTGATCGGCACCTGACTACCAAACCGACCCCAACTACATAGTACAAGAACGTCGGCGCTGAGGCATCAGCATCAGCGGCATCATGCCTGTTCTTGCTGCAAGGTGGACCGGGGTACGATGGCGTAGGTACTAGCATTGTGTGTTTTCACACGCAAAGCTCGAGCCGAGGGAATAAGGCACGCTCGGCATGAACAACTTGGGTGACCGCACAAAACGCTGCGTTGCTGGTTGCAAGGTCAGAGGCTTTCTGGTTCTCCCACGAGACGCCAAAATATGCGACATGGAAGAGGTCTAGAAAACGCCTAAACACCGATTGCAGCCTCAGAGGGCGTCGGACGGGGCGACCATATCAGACAAGCCAATGTTGGGATTGTTAGTCTCACGATACTCCCCCATCGCATTCAGACGCACTCATCGCCACCAAATGACGATGTTCTGGCATCCATTGCCTTGCTTCTTCGCCGAGTGTTCCACCGCAGCCGTTCCCGCTGATAAACCCGTTTGAATAATGATCGGATCGCACACAGCAGTTCCCAGCCATCTACCAAGCGGGGCCCGGCCGGCCGAATCCCAAGTCTGGCCGATCTTGCCTGTCGGGGCCAGCAATGTGAGCACCGTACCTGCCTGCGGGCGAGGCAACGGCGGATGACGGCTAGATGTGAGCAAGTGGCCCTGGTCAAAATTCAAAGAGAGTGCTTTGGTCGGGGAGTATATCTGGTCACGCGGGGCTGATGATTGCTCTCAAACACGAATGCACGCGAGATATTCGGCGAGGTTCGTTCTGTGCACCGTCGAACAGGGCCACCGATGTACACACACGCATCACATTCATGTGCCAACTCTGGTATGCCATCGTCGACGGGGAAGCTCGTCACATCTCCGGTTGACACCACCCGGATATCTTCCCAGCATCCTTGCTTGCGTTCAACCTTGACTCCTGCTGCTTGCTGTCTGCCTATGTGCATATGCAGCAACCCCTCCCACCAATGCCCGCTACATTATTCCTTCTGCGCGTGGGGTTGATCAGAGACATGGGGCCTGAGTGGTCGAGGGGGGCTCATACCTACGAAATATACCACAAGCACCCGCACCGCACGACGCGCCGCGCCGCTTTTGGGAGAGGGCAGCTCGGCTCACTCGACTGTGCTGTCGGGCTGTTCCAACTGTGTCTCGATGGAATTGCCCTAACAAAACCAGCGACCTGGGGAACGGCGAGGCAGCGTCGAGGCATCCAGCCTTTTTTCAGACATTGTCGATCCAGGCGATGCTAGCGAACAGCACATGACGGGGAGGGGCAGAGAAACAAAGCCAAAAATACCGAGAGAGACAACAAGCAAGGGAGAGGCGGACCAACATTGTGTAGGTGCCGCCCGGCACACAGTCAAATTGAGTCGACAGCACGGCCAAAGCCGCCGTTCAACATTTCCACCGGTTCATTGGGCTGTACCCTCCCTGTCCGCCGCCGTGGGAACGTGAGCTTTTGACCACCTCTTATTGCTTATTGCTCGTCCCGGCCTTCCACCCCCGATTAAATTCGCAATCCTGCTTCCCTGATTCCTTACGAATTGCATCCTTCCGCCTATTTTTGCGCGCGCCTGTTTCCCAATCGTCTTCGTCAGCGTCTGTTCTACGAGACGCAATCTCGCAACCAACACATTTCGTGCCTAACACATCTACTCAGACCTCTCTGCACCACAGGCAGAAACCGCTTCGTTACCTCATCTCTCGTCCGAGCAACCACCAGCCTCAGCTACCTACCCATCTCGTCACCCGCTCACTACCCAGCTTCGGAGACGTACGGCGGCACTTTCTTGGAGACTAGCTGTAGCTACTCCCGATCGACGACTGGGTGTAGACAGCCCTTGCTCTATCAATCTACTTATCGCCGACCAACAGCTCCCCGGCCTGCTGCAGGTTCTTGCGTGTTACTCGAAGCAAACACCCGTAGGTTGCAAGTCGTCAACAGCCACTCCCTCCGCGCCCGTGACACTCGAGGGGTGCCTTATTTAGCTCATCTCGACAGATCTTGGTCTTGGTCGTCCGACTCTTCATCTCCTGCCGTCCTTCCCTCCAAGTCACTCTGTCACGAGCACAGTCACCCTGGATCTGCGTGGGTTTACCAGGAGGGGACAGTGGTACTTGGTGCACCGACTCATTTTATCCGGTCCTCTTCTCCCAACGTCCGCCACCCTTACCGGCTTCGCGGGTCTATAACAGGCCCGAACCGTCACGATTTCCGCCATTTATCGCATCGAGTCTATTCTCTCACCCGAAAACGCTGATGACGCCCGGACTGTCTCTTCCACCCAGACCACGCCGAAGAGGAGATTCCAAGAAACGTTTTCTCCATCGGAGGGGTCAGCCGTCCCCCCCGCCGTAGGAGACCCTCCGGATCGGCAACCTTTGGCCGGGTCCAGGTCAAGCCATTCCTCTGTCGCGCCTGACGACGATGAGCCGAGGCCTCTGTTGACGGGCGCCCCGAGCGGCAAGAGACCCTCCAGAGGTATGCGGCCTCCGATGAGGTCTAGCATAGCTTGCCAGAGGTGTAGGAAGTCCAAGATCAAATGCGACAATGACAACTCTGGCGCCCCCTGCGACACTTGCATCAAGGCTGGTCACAAATGTGAATTCCCGGAGCCCACGCCCCTACCGGCCAAGCGAGCAGAACCGCCAACTGTACCGAAGCAGGAGAGGGAGGCAGGCCCTGATCGAAAGCGAGTCAAGAAGCTGGACGACACATTCCAACTCGATGGAACTGCGAAGGCGGAGGAAGTGTTGTCGATGCCATATCTGTCGGGCAAGATTTGGCATGAACTTTTCGACATCTACAAGCTGCACTTTGCAACCGAGCTCCCATTTCTACATCTTCCTACGCTGAAGAGCATCATACACGACAAGGAGATCAAGAAACCGTCTGCGGATGTCAACTTAGTGCTCCTAGGTATCTTGGCCCTTACGGCTAGATTCCAACCCGAGTTGGTCAAGTACGTCGCACACCAGACATACGACAAAGTTGCAGGCCCAAAATCTCGAGGTGCTCTTCCTCGCGCAGATCCTTCGGCAGCGTCGGAATACTTCGCAAATGCTCTCACGGCGGCTCTGGGACCACTTGAATCAGCCCTAACGTCGGCCTCAGTTGTTCGGGTTCAAGCCTTCTTGATGCTGGGTTTATACAAATGGAGCCAGCCCAGTGGCGGCTTGGCCGCGTGGATGTACGTCGGCGTGGCAATTCGCATGGCTCAGGGCTTAAAGCTAGGATTTGGCGACAAGCCTCTTCGTGGAAGGAGGGCTTTGGGTTTGTCCCGGTCACATAAGTCGGCGCAGTTGCCGTCCGAATCGTGGAAAGACCAGGAGATACGACGACGCACCATGTTCAGTTGTCTCATCCTCGACCGGTTGCTATCATGTGGATCCGAGCGAGTCTCCATGGTTCGATCCGACGACTTGCAAATTCAACTGCCGTGTACCGAACACGCTTTCGATCTGGGACGAGCCGTCTACACCGGCTTCCTCCGACAGGTAGGACAAGAGATGGAGCGCCCTATCGACGACAGCGTTCTTAGCCGCTTTGTGCAACTCGCCGACTTTTGGGGAGACATTACCAAGTACAGCTTTGCTGGTGGCCGCCATACGGAAGCGTATCCCCCCTGGAATAAGGACTCAACTTTCTATCAGCTCAATACCAAGGTCGAGGCCTTTTATGCTCATCTGCCAGAAGAGTTCACCTGGTCTAGTTCAAATTTTTGGAAACATGATAACAGCATGTATGTGTCCTTGCACATGCTTGGGGCCCTCTGCCGGATCATGCTACATCGAGAGTACATCCCCTTCATCGCTATCAAATGCGAGAAGCCAATAGGGCCTTTGGACGAGCCAGTCTTCGATCCCGCCATTGTTCCGGACGACTTTTGGTATCGAAGTGCGGAGCAGGTTTTCAAAGCTGCGCGGGAGATCATTGATTTGATCAGGACATGCCGCGACAAGCTCCCTCAATCGTCTCTTGTCATTTTCGCCATTTGGCAGGCGGCGTTTGTGGGAATTTACGCGCGCCACTATCCTCAGCTGGACACCGAAAAGCACATGGTCAGCGACGAAGAGATCCAGGAACGAGCTTCAGGAGCCATACCCGACCTCACGAAAACAGGAAACACTGGGATCGCCTACACCGCACTGCAGAGGGTCGCTCCATATTTCAGCATGGCTTCAAATTACGTAACGTACTTCAAGGACATGGATCAATACTTCACGAAGGTCTTTGTGGATTATGCCCAGCGAAACGGCAGAAGGAGCGGCGATGGAACACTGAGCATTCGGTTGGGATCGGGAGGCGGTGGGCTTGAGGAGTGGAGGGTCAAGGCCGATAGGATTACAAGCAATGGTATCATCATGGATGAAGATCGATCTCTCGGGTACGACGCCTCGGATGGCTCCCGCGCAAGCACTCTGGAACGCAGCTCTTCAATGGGACCCGAGTACTCCCACCTGAGTGCCAGCGGCGGCTTGGAAAGCCGGCGAGACTCGCGACAGGCAGCCTCCTCGTTTACGGCCATTAATAGTGCTCAATTTCCCGTCGGGCAGGAGGGTTACCCAGGTGGCAACATGCCGCAGCATTCGCCGACACAGACATTCGCAACAGCACCCGGGCCCCTGAGCAATGAGGCCGCCATGAACACAGTCGGCAGCGGCGCGGACGCCGCCAACATCGAGTCATATGTCAACCAGCACCAGGGCCAGCGTTTTGGAATTGCCCTCGAGGATCTTGAGGAGTTCACTGGGCAGATGGCTGCCGACCAAAATATCGGGGATTGGGGGCCGGCGTTTTTCTCACAGGTGGCTGGAGGCAATCCCCTGCCTCAGTTCAGTGAAAGCTATACCTGAGGGCGTTTGGTGATTGAAGAAGCACTTCATTCTTAGGGGGCGGAAGGGGTCAGCAATGGATAATCAGTTGTTACGTCTGGGTGGTTATTCATGTCATCATGATTGCTTTTTGTTTCCTTTTTTCTTCATCGGGTACGAAGCTACGACCGACTCCCTGTTTGTTATCTAACCCGGGAAGGCTTTCTCTGGGAAGTCATTGGCCTGGCGTCTAATTCTGTACGAGACCGCAGAAGGGGGGTTCTTTCCCTACTGGGAGATCCAGCCAGGTTTCTTGGCCATTGACCGTTCGACGACTGACCTCGGAAATCTCCCTTCCTTTAAGGTCTTGGAAAAAATTGATCTTACAATCTCCAGACATGCTATCCATCTTGTTCATGCGCCATGGCTTGAAGTCGCGATGCCGTCATCGCCGCCATGCGGTTCGCCAGGTGCTGGTTACACAAGGCTAGACGAGGAATTGGACATCACGCAGTCCCCATGTGCTGCAACGGCAAGGCCCGCGTGAGGTCCGCGTGCGCGCGAGTGTGTGTTGCCTCTGTCTGCCACGGGCGAAAACTGGAATGGAATGGCTGGTCTCATTCGAAAGAATGACCGTGAGAATGCGTTTTCCAGTTACCTGGTACGCGTCTGGATTTTGGGGAGGTAAGGGAGCATCCGTCCGTCTCTCGGGGAGACCGGGAGAAGTTTTGTCCACGCTCGCTCGTCGGCCGTCAGCCACCCCGGACAATGTGGAATGTAGGGTGTGTGAGTGTGTCTACGTGTGTGTAAATGTCTCGGGGGGACTTCCGAGACCTTACTAGGGGCGGCTCTCCATTTGGCCAAGTCTGCGATGCTGATTTTTATATCCCGATTTGTTCAGAAAGGGCAATCGCTCTTTGAACAGTGACTGATCAACTGAATATTAACCCTCTTGCGTGATCCTCTGGCATTTAATTCTACATGGACGTGAGGGAGTGCCTCGGCCGGACGTCGGATCAGGGCAGCGACGTGGGGGGTGCTTAGGAGTAAGGGGTAAAGTACATGTCAGCTGGAGCGAGAAAAGAAAAAAATGCGAAGAATAGAGTTTAGGAAAAAGAAACGAGGAGAAATGACAAGAACGCCTTGTGGCGTTTGAAAAAGGGCAGCGGGCAAACTTGCCTAACTCGGGGCGTAAGAACTGAATGCCCGGGGCTGAGAGGAGAGAACGGCTGCGAGTGGAATGAGCGTTTACCCGATCTAGATGCTCGTGTAAGGGGTATGGAGGGCGGCGCCCTGACAGAGCTGACTTGGGCGAGCTTGTTAGCTCAGTCGGTCAGCCACTCTGTCGTTTGCTCAAGATGGGCTGGTTAGAGTTTGATTGGGGAGAACGTTTCAGTTCAGATACGGTGTGCATGTTTTGGTTTGGTGTCGTCCAGAGCAGTGTGGTTTACTACCGGGTCTGGGAGTATATGCTGAGTAGTTCAAGTATCCATGGATCCTGTCTGAGCCGATTGGATCCTCGTGGTGCGGTCGCTGTCGCTGTCGCTGCCGCTGCCTAAAGACGAAAATTTGCCGCTTTCCAGCTTCTAAACTCAGTCTTTAACCTAAGGTTCGAGTCCGTAATATTGAGACCATGAAAAGACTGAGGTTGGCATGGCAGGGCCAGTTCAACGGTGCGAGTGGCTGGTAAGCTTTCCAAGTCCTTCCCCCTCCAGGTGGTTGTGATCGCTGGGAACCTTGGTTGTACAGACTTAGACTTGTCTTGTTGAATCGGTTTATTGACTTGTGACTAGACGAAAGCTCCATCTTACGTGTATTTGCGCCACGGTAAAGCCCAACTAACACTCTTTACTGTTTCTCTAACTCCGAGTTGTCTTAGTTTTAAGCCTGCTGAGCCTGCGAAGCCTGCGTCTGAACTCGAGAGATATGATAGGGTATAAAGAGTACGGTATGGAGGCGACATCGGACCATTTGCCTTGGTGGTGACTTGGGTGGCTGGGCCAACTGGGTTTCTCTGCTGAGCTGTAGGATTGAGGCGCACCTTGAGCCAGGGCTTTTATGCAAGCTATCTGGTCGTCTGGGTATTGATAGATGTGTTGTGTCTCTTCATATTTTGATCGAGATTCTCGCGGCAAAGGTTACGCTTCGTTACGACCGTTATCGTCAGCTTTCTTTTGGGCCTCAAGAGGGTTAATGTGTCTTCAGTAACTTAATTCGATGAGAGTATTACTCTTTACCATCGCAGCAGTGCTCACCACTGCCACGTCTGCCACTGTTTTGCTCCAAGAGCTTGATCTCAGGCACAACCAGCAGAGTCTCAGGGCCTACAATAATTCGCAATGCAAAATTTTGGGGCGGCCCGCGGTATCCCATCTTCATGGTGAACATCGGTGAGGCAGATGCAGAGGAATATGCTGGATGGCACTTGACCAATTAAAGTCTCGCGTACTTGTACGCTGAAAAGTTCCAAGGAGCGATCGTCCTTTTTGAACGTAGGTGTCTTCCACTAGGTGCTGATTTATGCTTAGTGAAGCGTCTGTCCTGACAACCAGCCGTGCAGATTGGTATTATGGAAAGTCCCAGCCCTTCAAGACGATGACTGCAGAGACCCTGCAGTGCCACACCGTTCCTCAATCGCTTCAAGACAACAAGCGCTTTGCTCAGACGGTGAAGTTCGGTTTCGACAACTGCGGGGGTGCCAACGCTGACAAGTCTCCCTGGGTGTTGATCGGCGGGAGCTACGCAGGCGCTCTCGCGGCATGGCAATCTGTGATCACGCCGGGTGTGTTTGCTGCCCAACGTGCTTCTTCTGCCGTCGTCCACGTTATCGAAGACTTTTGGCAGTTTTGGACTCCCATCGAGCAGGCCATGCCACGGAACTGCCTGAGGGTGTGAAGCTAGTCATCAAAAAAGTTGACTCCATTCTATGAAAGGGTGACAGGGAGGAGATCGCTGCGATGAAGAAGGAGTTTGGCGTGGCATTGCTCAACGATGTCGATTTCACAAGCACGCTGACAAAGATACCGCCAGACAGCTTCTCTTACGTCTCGGAATTCTGCAATCATATGGAGAAGAGGGTCAATAACGGGACGCTCAACAAGGGTCTAAATGAGACTGATGTTGTCCTAGATGTTGCGTGGAATATGTTCGCGAATCTGACACAGCACTACTGGAAAGATTTCTGCACCGATACCCCATGCAACTGGGAGCACGAGAAGGAAATTGAATTTCCGTCGAGCCCAACAAATCTCGGGACCGCTCGTAGTTGGGCATGGCAGCTATGCAACGAGTTTGGTTGGTGGCACATCGGCCCGCCTCAGTCTGACGGCAACAACATCGTCTCTTCGCATCTTACGTCGGAGCGTTATAAGCGCCATTGCGACGACTGCTTCCCGGAGGTCAACGGCTTCGGACCAGCCATGTACCGAGGCGCCACTGCAGACGATTTCAACAAATGGACAAAGGGAGGTTGGGATGCGCCGTTCGAGAAGGTCATGTTCGTCGATGGTGAATTCGATATGTGGAACTCGGCCACGATGAGCTCAGCGTACCGGCCCGGCGGCCCTTGGAACAGTACGGAGGAGGTGCCTCGAATGGTGGTTGCACGCGGAGGCCACACTCCGGACCTAGACCTTATCCATGTGAATGAGGGCGTGGTCGAGGCATTGGCGGTTGTAACGAAGAAGCAGTTGAAGATTATGGAGAAATGGCTCAGTGAGTGGAAGCCCAAGCATTCATAGACTGGATGCCTGCACACGTTAGAACATGGTTCAACAAGTAAGACAGATAGACGCAGGCAAACCTCCGAGATGTTCCCACAACACAACTGCTGTTGATTTCTGCCGAAGGGCTTGCGGCATATTTGGGATTCGTCGAGCCTACGCTGCTCTCGCGGTGGTGAAGGGCTGTGCTTTCGCCGTTGAAAGATGGATTTCCTCTTCTCTTGAGAGGCTGATGTGGTCGGTTATTGCCCCTTCTTCCTTCCTTCTGACCATTGCGCCCCGCTCGGCTCGACGTGTCCTTCCCTTCCGTTCTTGCACCCTGCTGTCACTTTTGCCAGACACATGTTGTTTGTCAACTTCATCACTGCCATGCTAATCCTTCTCCGGCTCGGATGCAAATCGACGACGTCGACCTCCACCATCTCCACCGTTGATTATCAACAATATCGGAACTCTACGTCCTGCAAACCACCGACGAGTCACCCCGGCAATCCTAGCTTGGTTCTAGCTGGACGGGCCGACCGAAAGTTCGTCATCTCGGCTGGCCGCGAGAAGGAGAACGAGACACAGAGAAGAAATGTCGTGAGGATGATTTTCCAGCCTCAAAAGCTCCAGATATGGCAGGAGATGTCTTATCTATCTCCGCCCGGCTCCGATTACAGACCACAGGCTACGGAGACCCTGCAGCATTTCAACCGGCCGGATGATCTCCAGAGACAACTGATAAGCTTATCAGGCGCGGGAGGGGACATCAAGCTCGCCTCCACGCTTGGGATGGATGGCCGCTCCCAACGCGACGGAAATCATGCCGTCTGTGGCCTTATGCAAGGAACAAGTGATTGATCAGGTCGCCCGAAATGGAGATGGGAGATTGCCCTGCGCCAGAATTTGGCTGTCACGTGAGCATCGACGTCGATGCCTGCCAACCCCGTCACCTCAAGGCTTGACCGAGCTTCACCGAAAACACCGGCCCCACGCAGCCATTCTCCCGTCAGACTGACAGCCAGCAACCGGGTCTTCCGTCCGGCTTCACGGTCAGAGCCAGGGCGGGCCACCTTGCTTCTTCCTTCATCCTCTCATCATACGGCCACTAGCGGCACAGCACCAAACCACCTGCCGAAAGCTGACAAAGGACCGCTCGGAGATGCTCAATCGTTGCAAAGCCGACTTTCTCAGACCACCCGCACCCGCAAAGGTCCATCCAGTCCAGCAAATCGTCGGAAAATACGGCAATACAATAAATCCTCCGTGGCATGTTTCGACCACAAAAGTATGGCAGGGTTCAAGACGACGAAAAAAGAAGCTGCAAGGCAACAGTCACCACCTGGTGCGAGAACTTCCCCGCACCCGACATTGTCACGCATAAATCGCGCTTTGCTGGACCTGCTGGTGCTGCTACTGCTGCTGCCGCTCGACGCCCTGACTGCCGCCCTACAGTCTCGTCATGACTGTCCCGTGTAACGGGTCTTTTTACCGATCGACACGACCTGTGGTAACTCAATTGGGACGGTACCTGGATTTACCCCGCCCCGGCTTTGGAATCTGTGTCCATTGCCCAGAGGCTGTGCCACAAGTGCCACGGGTCCTGGAACTTGGACACATTTTTTCCCTTCTTCTCCAGCAGTGTGCTCTGATGCCCGGCGCAGAGCAGCATGACGTCGATATCCTCTCACCCACACGCACAAGGACCCGTCATGTCGGAAGGATTGGTCATCTGGGTGGGCTGAGGTTTCCCACGACACGTCGTTGAAATGTCGGCAACCTCTCGGTGCCCCTCCTTATTGCTGGGCCTCACCCCCGCAAGGTTCAGGGAGACATGCAGCTAATTTGGGCCGGGGTTACACGCTGTTGGCCGATCTGGAAGCCCAGACCAGCCAAAAGTACTGCTGCGACACTATTCACACCCTCAATCATAGGCGAGCTGACCGGTTGATGGAGCTCTCCAAGAGGAGCTGCGTGGGAGCTATGAGCAGCTGATGGCGCGGCATCTTAGCTGGGAAACCAGCCTAACTCTGCACAGTCTGCAGTCAGCTTTCCTAACGCCCGCCCTGTGAGCTGCGTTGACCGAACACGACGAAACTCTGACCATGAAGAAGATTCGACGAGCCTCAACCCGCCAAACACGGAACCTAGCGCATCGAGACGGTCTGAACGCCACGCCTCCCTACATCTCCTCGAGATGGAAAACTCTGAAAACTCTCGTTGAATCCCATTGTTTTGCTGGAGCGGGTTACTGGTTTTATTCAACTTCAGTCATCCTGGCAACCTGACACACCCGGCTCCAGTCAACTATGAGCCTTGCAAGGATCATGCACACCCTTCCCTCTAGCCACTTAAACCTTGGACCAACACGATGCTCAAAGACCTTGAATGAAAATGCCATTTTCCCGCTCAAAAGGGCGTGGTGACGGCCGTTTCCAACATTCCAGGTACATGACAGCCATGTCGAATCCGGTGATCCGCGTCGAGCTCCAGCAGTCTTAGTGTGGCCGCCCCATGGTGGGGCGTGGGATACGCCTCAGATGACGTCCGCTGATTTGTTCGACTGCGAACTTCTCCCACTCTCTGTCCGGGATGAGGCTGTCACACTCCTCTCTCTATCTGCACGTTATGACAAAAGAGAATTGTATCGTTTGGTACACGCACACGGAACCGGGATACCTCGAGTGTACTTCCGAACACAGCTCTCGCCCGGTGTTTGTTTCACTCAATCCGATCTCAGCTGCCCCGTACCCTCGTCGTATACCTGCTCCATCTGGTCGCCAATATCCCCGAAATGCATCTCTGCTCCATCAACTCGCTACACTGTAGACCAGAATGGCAGGCCCAAGAGGCCTACGGTCCGCCGAGTCACCAGTTCCATGTCCGCATCCACAAAGAACACCTGGTACACGTCTCGGACCTACCCTATTGCTAGCATGGCAACACCAACGTGTATCGCCGTCCGCTTGCCGGCGCCTCCGCCGGCCTGGGAGACCCAGGTACCTTTGTCGTGGAGGCTATAAGCTCTAGGTACCCGTCCGTTCTTCTCGTCCCAAGCCCGTACTGCTTTGCACATGCTACCTTCAACGTCCTTCATATAACATCTACCTTTGTTCCGCTCTGTTGTACCTGGCCTGGATTCAAACTCTCAGCGCTTGGCTTTTTACACACTGAATTCCTGTCACGATGGGTTCAATCGCTGTCTCTCAGGACAGCCTCCCGTACGCTGGCCCCAAGGCGGCTAAGCAGAAGGCAGTTAAGTCCGCCGACAAGCATGGCGTTGACATCATCGATGTTCGACGAGTTGCGGTTGAAACAAACTTGAAAGACGACATCCTCTCCATGTGGAACCCCACAAACGGACCCCGGAGGCTCCCAACCTTGCTGCTCTACAACGAACGGGGCCTGCAGTTGTTCGAAGATGTGCGTGCTTTTAGACCACTCATCGGCTCAGCCACGTCTTGCGTGATCGGCACTAACAATTTCTCTAGATCACATATCTCGAAGAATATTACCTCACCAACAATGAGATTGAAGTTCTGAACCGTTCGTCGAGAGAGATTGCGCAGAACATATCGCCGGAGTCTATGGTCATTGAGTTGGGGAGTGGGTCTGTGGTTCCCTTGCTGAATGGTGACTCTGGGATGATTCTGACCAAAATTCAAGCAATCTTCGTAAAATTGGGATTCTGTTGCAGGCTTTCGAGGATGCCGGGAAGAAGATCGACTATTACGCCCTGGACCTCTCACGCGAAGAGTTGGAGCGCACCTTGGCGCAATTGCCGGAGTTTCGACTCGTTCGATGCCACGGACTGCTGGGTACCTACGATGATGGTCGAGAGTGGTTGAAAAAGCCCTTCAACTTGGCCCGCCCCAAGTGCATCGTGAGCCTTGGATCTAGTATCGGTGGGAACTCCTCAAAGGAGCTGTTAGGCTTCGACTCACACTGACATTGGTTTTAAGGCAACTTCGAGCGCTACGACGCAGCTGGATTTCTGAAGCATTTCAGCGATGTCCTCGCGCCGTCAGACAAGATGCTTATTGGTTTGGACGGATGCGGCGATCCAGCGAAGGTCTAGTATGTTTTCAGTGCCCCTTCCCTAGTTCAGGGTGCTAACGCCTCACAGTCACGCCTATAATGGTATTTGCTCCTGATCAAGTCGTTGGATATTGCTGACATTTGCAACTAAAGACAAACATGGGATCACTCATGAGTAGGTTACAAACTAAAGCCAATTATATGCTTTTATCTAATGAATCTCAGCTTCATACTCAATGGGCTTACCAACGCGAACGAGATTCTCGGCCAAGAAGCTTTCAAGCTCAAAGATTGGGAGGTCATTGGAGAGTATGTCTACGACGACGAAGGTGGCCGCCATCAGGCCTTCTTTTCTCCAGTCCGAGACACATACGTTTTGGGTACCTTAATCAGGCAGCATGAGCGAATCCAGGTCGAGCAGAGCCTGAAGTACTCCCAGCGTGGAGCCGAAAACCTCTGGAGCATGGCAGGTCTGGTCGAGACCGGCCGTTGGACCAAGGGCGACGAGCATGGTGAGTGGATCATTTCTGTGTACAACATCAGGAACTCGGGCTTTTTGGTTGCCACCCCTTACGCAGCATCATGCACCCCATAAGCCTCCCCCACGTCTGCCGGCAACGTGGAGCCAATTGCCCAAAAGGTGGATGTGCATTCCCCGGATCGTAAGATGTTGGATGCGACTGGCTCCGACATCGTCATATGACGGACTCATGAATCCTACTGTTGTAATCGCCTTAGTTACAAAAATGCGGTGCTCTCCAGAGTATTGTTTCGCGAGCTGACATTCAAGTAGGATTACACATGATCTCGAAGAGAAAGATGCCTTTCAGCCTGCTCCCCGATCTCTATGCATCTTCTCCCTGTCCTTCGTTGAGCGACTGGGAGGCGTTGTGGACGGCATGGGACGCCGTTACACAGAGTATGCTTCCCAGAGAAGAGTTGCTGGATAAGCCAATCAAACTTCGAAACGCCTGCATCTTCTACCTCGGTCACATCCC